GGCCCCGACCCCTTCCATCGGGACCGGCAACTCGGGGAGAGGAGGAGGCGCCGTCCTCCCCTCCCCGCTGCCCGCATCCTTACGCGACTAAAGGGCTTTTCTTGGTTGTTTCCTCCTCTAGTTTGTGTATTTAAGTACTGCGCACACCCCTCCCCGTGTTTGTTTGTTTGTTTGGATGGGGTTTTTTTTCCTCTCCCTTTCTACTTCTTCTTCCAGGAAACCAAATCTTGCTCAAGAAACCACAGCGTTATACAATTCTGTGCGCTGCGAGCCTCAATAGTGGAATCATTACAGAGTGGCGTTTAATGCTTCCGTTTGAAAAGTGTTTTCACTTCCTCAGAACGAAGGATTTCACAACGCAAGGAAAGATTTAGAACAAAAAAAGATATTACCAAAAAAAAAGGATATTAAGAATAGTGTTTTCACTTCTACTTCCTTTGCCCTAAACTGCCTCCTAGAGCACTCCAGTAAAGCGCACACTGATGGCCTGCCCTGGCCCTGCTCATCTCTCCGCCCGGCCTGCTCCTCGGTGGCCAAAACAAAGGCGAAAATTCCGCACTGGGTCGCGGTACGCCACGGAACCTGGGTGCAAGAGATGCTCGGGGCAAGGTGCAGCTCCTCAGACAGACTCCCCACTCGTGATAAAGGAAGAGAAATCACTTTGAAACTCCACTGCCCTCTGGTATTCATCTAAACAGGAAGTAAGGTTTGAAATAAAAACGAAGCCATTCTTACTTGAGCATCTGTCAGCCCCAGCATCGCCGCCAGTTGCTTCCTGTCCGGTTTGGTGACATACTTCTGGATTTCGAACCGTTTTTCTAAACCTTTCCTCTGCAGGTTGGAAAAAACAGCCCTGGACCAGGAACGTTTCCTCTTGTACGTCTGGGGCAGCGTGTCCTTGGTTAGAACTGCGTACGGACCTGGGGAGGGGAAGAGAAAGTGGGGGAAGAGAGGGGGAGACGACGTTATTATTATCGCAGCCTGAAAGGAAGAGATTTAATCGATCTGAATACGAGCTGGAGCGCGATGTGCAGGAGGGCCGGGGCCAGCATGGCCCTGCCTGCCCGGCGGGTCCATGTCCTGTCAGCTTGTGCTGCCTCGGGCACGGATGGAGCTGCACGGAGCTCCCACTTCTTCCTCTCCCACCTCCCCGCTTCTTCTCTCTCTGGCCAAGGTTATTACTCCTGTACGCGATGGGACGATCCTCTAGATCAGGCCCTAGGCGGCTCTTCCTCCCCCCCAGGCAGCCCGGCTTTCGCCCAAAATCTGAACCTCGCTACACACGCCCGGCCTTGCAGAATTGCCTGGCGGGTCCCTCCGGGAGGAAGGGGCTCCTCCAGGACGGAGGGCCCTGCGCCACGGGAGGGTAGAGGAGGGACGAGATGTACCTGGAAAAGTGTCTTGAAACTGATGCTGCACTGAGCTCCTTGGGTTTGTGTTTAAGGGACCCAGGATAGCAGAGGCCTCGTTAATAGGGTCTAGAGACGCGAAGAACTGGCCGGCGGAAGGCTGCAAGTTGGGGAGATGAACCCCAGTTTGGCGGCTCGTAGTTAATAAGGAGGTCAGATCTGCGAGCACAGGAACAAGGAGAGCGATGTTACACCGCGGTCGAGAACGACAACCCGGCACGACTCGGAGCGAGTGCCCGGTCGGAGGGGCTCGGGGGCCACCAAGCAGCCATCTCCCGCCCCCAGGGGCTCTCCTCAGGAGAGGCGACCCTGCCCCGGCAGTGAGACATCCTCCGACATATTTACTCCCTAGGTCAGGATGTTTACAGGCCGCGAGGGGAGATGGATTGAAGCGAAACAATCACACGGGCTGTGTCCTGGGAGGCAGAAATCCCCGGCCGTTCCGGGAAGTGCGGAGCGCTCCGCTCGCTACTTTCACGCTATCGCTGCTCTCCCTGGGCCTCCAGCCCTGCGCCCCGGCTCTGCCGTGCGGAGGCCGGAACGGGGAGGGAGGGGGTGTCTCACTGAGAGCTGTTAGAAACTTTGATTTATAAAATTTTTTTTAATAATTCTTTTCTCGCCTAGATCGAGAGGTTTTCAAATCGCGGGTGAAGTCGCTAATCACAGTACAAGTAAGAGAGCATCGAGAGCGTTAGCAGGGAAAACGGATAAACCAATTTCTCTACCTCTCAGCGTGTTGCCTTCCTTGACTTTGGGGTCAAACTCCGCCGATAAAATGCGGTCGATGCCGAATTTCAGGTCCTTGCTGGCGGGCGCCGGCGCCGAGCCGTGC